TTTTGTGGTTAAAATTAAGAAAAAAATATAATTTTGGGGTTTGTCAACTTTTGATCACTGTGAAATACTATACCTATAATTTCCTGAACAAATCTCCGAAAATAAAAATTTCTCAAAAATGACTAAAAATGCACTCATTTTCCTTAAAATACTTAGCTATGTCCATTTTTATGGATAAAATTCAGAAATAATACATTTTTTTGGAACATCATCTTTTGAGCACAATGAAATACTATACCTATAAATTCCTGAACAAATCTCCGAAAATAAAAGTTTCTCAAAAATGACTAAAAATGCACTCATTTTCCTTAAAATACTGAGCTATGTCCATTTTTGTGGTTAAAATTAAGAAAAAAATATAATTTTGGGGTTTGTCAACTTTTGATCACTTTGTCAACTTTTGATCACTGTTTGTCAACTTTTGATCACTGTGAAATACTATACCTATAATTTCCTGAACAAATCTCCGAAAATAAAAGTTTCTCAAAAATGACTAAAAATACACTAATTTTCCTTAAAATACTTAGCTATGTCCATTTTTGTGGTTAAAATTCAGAAAAAATATACTTTTTGGGTTTGTCAACTTTTGATCACAGTAAAATCCTATACCTATAATTTCCTTAACAAATCTCCAAAAATAAAAGTTTCTCAAAAATGACTAAAAATACATTAATTTTCCTTAAAATAAATGCCTTATGATAATCCCTTAGAATAAAAAATTGGGGGGATTTTTTTGGAAAAATACTAATTTCAGATAGCGTGGTGAGATGGTAAAAAATTATGCTGAAGATTTCTGGAAAAAAAAATCATACTTTTGGAAGTAGAACGTTATAGGTTATTGTTTAGCTGAATCATTTTTTAAATCAGTTATGGTGCATCCCTGGTATTTACAAAACGCAGTGTATCATAAAAACATTGAATTTACCTGCGAGTTCAGCAGAAAGCTGTTTGGTCGGGACATGGGAAGGGGTGTGGATGTGCCAGCTATTGCCATGGCCACATTTTGATTGATCATATTGTTGCCCTCCCCGTCTGTCTCTTCTCCACTGTTGCCCAACACTGCTCCCTGAGGACCACCTGTTCTACCCCACTGGTTGTGGGATTCTACAGACACAGAATTGAAATAAAAAATAAGAACGTGAATATTAGGTACAATAGTTATACATAACAAAAGTGGTGACTGCTAACATATTGAATAATGATGTATATCGATGCAATACAGTGAATATGACTGCATATATAAAAAAACCTGCAGCTGTGCTGCATAAAACAGCTGTAAAAATTTCTTTACCAGTAAAGTCATGGAGCTGTGGTAGTGTTTCCATGATGATGCCAATTAGAGGGAGGTATAGCATAGCAACACGGGCCTTGACCTCAGGATCTGCATAGCGTGGATCGGAGTCATGACTAGACAGGAGGTTGTGAACAACACTTACGACCTTTTTATGCAGACCAAACATCCTGTGGAAAAAAATAAATATTTTAACATGAAATGGAAATTTTACTTTGTTACCCAGATTTATTACTATGCATTTCCACCTATTGATGTGTCATTCATACAGATTTATCTCTCACCGAAGAAAGTGACTTATTTTTTCGCAGGTGGTTTGAAAACCATCAGTGATCCTTTTTTTTAATATGTTTGATTGACACCTAATCCCTGGACTGCTTACAACAGTCAACATTCTGACCAGTGTAAGATGCAATTGCAAAGTCAAAATCATACTCACCCTTCATTGTCTGGATCCAGTATCACAGACAGCTCAGACAGTATCAGTCCTGCCAGATAGTGCTGCTCTCTGAAGGGGACAGACAACTCAAACATGTTGGCTATCTTTTGATCCTGGACGTGCGTGGAGAACGCAGAGCTCTGAGGCAAAGAAAAGGGGGCGTTATAAACATTATAATATGTTCTTAGTATGGCAAAGGTTCTGTACATTTCTCTCTCTTGCCTGCGAAGTTGCTGAAGATACGGAAGGTGAGGGTGAGGCAGGAGGTGTGAGCAGGCTGCAGGGCAGATTGAGGGTGACGTAGTGTTCATGGCTGCAAACGATTCTCAGGAAATCAAGCCTGAGAGACTCAAGTGTTGGGTTCTGTAAAGCGTAAAGTTTTGTGGACACCTGGAAAAAAAGAACATTAATAATAATGCAGATTTTTCATTTTTTAATATTTTATAATTTGTCCAATAATGGGAAAATTCACGAAAAGTTTTATATATATATGTATATATGTGAGGGTATGTTTTGACATTAAAAAATATGTAATAATAAATACATGTAAGGACATTATAAAAAAAAGAACTAAATTAAAAAATATCTTTGTTTGTTTGACTAAGACTCATGTGTCATTAATCGGGATGACAGAGAATAGAGAACTTACCTGTTTCCAGTACACTCTGATTAGTGTAAAGACAAAGCCTCGGTCCATCACTGACAATAAGTCATTGAGAAAAAAGGCCAGACTTGTGTTAAGTCTCTCCACCAGCTCCAGGTCCTGATGAGAAGAGACAAACTACTTCAGATGGTCTGCAGGGTTTGGTGAATGTTTTATTAGCTAAAAATAGTATAATTAAGGATAAATAAATGTTATATCAAAATATTCTAGAAGTCTGTTTTTGCAGACACTTTACAAGTAATTTCAATCATATTTACATTGTACCCAAAGTGCAAAGTTGTTTTGTTTAAGACTATTTTTAAAGTAATCTTATGTGTACCCTTAAGTAATTACCTCAACTCTTACCTTCTGAAAACGAGATACAATGTCACCCGCAATGGTGCTGACCAGGGCAGTGATGTCATCCATGAAGCGTTCGGGAAAACGGTTCTTCCTCGGTGATTCCAAGCGCTCGGTAAAGTAAAGGTGGTGGATGATGCTCTTCACCTGGGGCCAAAAGACACTATTTTTTAACCCAACTAATGAGAACAATGTTTTGGGTGCTTTCAAAACAAGTGCCTACCATGAGTTCAAAGAAAAACCAGGCCTGCTGTAGAGCGCCCTCTCTGACACTGCCACTGCTCACTACCCACTGAAGGGCCAACTCTTCATGGAAAAGCTGAGTAGAAGAGTAAGAGAGCACCGACAGATGAGTTAAAACAAACAAAGAAAGGTAAAGAGGAAAGGAAAGAGTTGATGAGAGACATTAAATTTAAGGCCCCAAAAAGATTTATATTTATACAAAAAAAAGCAAATATTCAGTCAAGAAAATTCTCTGCGCCTCCAACACTGGAAATGTTAATAAAATAAATGGAGGTTAAGTCAAACACTTCAGGAAAAAGTCCATCAACAACTTACTTTAAAAAATACAAGGGAAAGTTTTGATTGATTCCTAAAACTCACACAAAATAGAGAATTAACACCATGCAAATACTTTGAGAGAAAATTGCTTCCTTATAAAGAGAGATAACCATCTTTTGGATCCTGTTTCTCTAAAAACAGCATTTTAAATACAGTCTGGCTGAAGCACTGACTTATACAGTCTTCCATCACAAACTTAAAAATATATATAGAATTATATATATACATATATATATACAATAACATGAACCGTACATCGTATATATGCACACAATTATTTGCACATAAATAATTATCACATATTTTTTGTAGGATCTGAATCATACATTTGCATATTTTCTTGACATTTTCTCATATTTATAATGCTATAATTAGGGTTATTTAGGTGTGAAACATGAACATTTAACTGCTGTTATTTTTCTCTATTCCAAAAATATAGAGATTTTTTTTTTGCCATATTTAGAAATTTTGATTTATCTCAATTAATCATTATTAATCTTTTATTTAATCCCCATCTTTCCTCTCTTTTATGAGAAAACCTAAAGAATCGTGGACTAAAACTCAAAAAGACTTCACAGACCAAGCGCTTCAACCAGACTCCACCTAACAACTACATAAATAAAACCTTTGACATATTCAGAACATGGAGAACAGGGACATTCAGCATTCAACAAGGCTGCTCAACCACAAAACACAACACCAATCATTCCAGCAGCAAACATTACGGACGAGACAAGCCAGGAGGCAAAGTAAGACGTGGGCAGGATGGTGCTCCTCCCTCCCCAGTGCAAGTGGCTCTACCTTTTTTGTGGGCAACCGTCCAGTTAAAGTTTGCAAGAAACTGGCGCTCTCAGTGTGCGAAGACATGCGATTGCCACAGCGCTCCATGGCCTATGAGTGGGATGAATGCAACGGTGACAACAAGGTTAGTGGAGGAGCAACGAGATGGGGTTGCCCCTTTTTTCTTCCCCAGAGCACAGAGACAAGTGTGTGCTGGGTTTTTTGTTTTGTTTTGTTTTTGCACATACTAGACATTTTTGTGATTACTCACACATACTCACACATGAGAACACAGAACAGTAAGACACAGGACAGGGACACAACACCAGAGTATTGTACCCACAATTTAAGACAGGCAGACATATTTAGAGCACTTCGTAAGACCATTTGATTTATATCAAGATGTTAATACTAATATTTAAACCTCCAGGGATGGGTGCTGAACACATTATTTTAAAAGGCATTGGTAAAATTTCACAGCCACCACTAAGTAAAAATTAATGTAAACACACAGGTGCCAGAATGTGTTTTTAATATGAATCTGTGCAGAAATCAATGCAATGCAGTTTTCCTGTGTGTGTACGCACAACATTAGCAGCAAGACAGCTCAACATAGTGAGAGCTTCAAGATTTTGTTTGAATTTAGGAGATTAGATTTGAGGTCAGATTAGAGTCAGGGTAGAATTAAGATTAGGCCAGTATTTAAAAATAGTTAGGGTAAGGGGTTAGGGTGTGTGTGTGGGTGTATGAGCGAGAATCAGAATAGATTAAATGGATTGTCTTTATTCTGATGGGTATGAAAAATCTCCCTTGAAAAGTTTTGACAACATTTTTACAACCTTAAAAAATTGATTCAAGAACAAAAAAGGGGATTATTGTATTACATTACTTCAACTCAATACCATTACCACCGTCCTATTGGAACAAATGTGGACAGTACCCATCCCTGTATTCATTATTCTTATTTTTATCCCATTAAATATGGAAATCAAGCTTAAATTATCTGTGCACACATTGCCTTATTTACTATTCATACTTATACTGTAAAATATACATTACTGCATAACTCTGTCAACAACATAAAAAACATTATGTCTTGACAACTGCAAAGTGACACAGGACATGACATCATACTGATGGACACTGACTTCACACATAGACACATCCATACCATGCATTGGTGGCACAGGTTATGCTATGTAAGGTTAGCAGGGTGTCATGCAGGGAGTGTTTATTTTGTTGAAGAACAGGAAGTGAAAAACAGTGTTGAGAACAAACAGTGAAAAAAGAAATAATATATATCAGAAAAGAATGCAGGAAGTAAGAAACAGTGGAACTCAGACATACCGCCCTTTTTCTCCACCACTAATGTCTCCAGGGAAATACTCACTGAAGGGCCGTTGATTTATTTATGAGTCAAAACCACTACAGAGCCTCTATTTAATTACCTACACATCTGGGTTCCCAGATTTTATCTCATGAAGAAAGCAATGAGAAAAAGGGAGGTGCTGTTAGTTGCGATTAGAAATCATGGAATGGAGAATTACAGATAAAGGGTCATGGAGGCGGCTGTGACTCCCATGCATGGAATCATGGGAGTTTTTTTTTTCTCCCAGAATACTGTGATATTTTTTTAAAGTTTTGGCCTCTAAAGTTTCTTTACCCACTGGTGCATGCCATAAATTTACTTCATTCTTATTGCCAAATGATTAGATATTTGGATTTTTTTTTTTTCAAGGAGTTTAATAGGTGTATCTAATGAAGTGGCCAGTGAGTGCATATTAAGTCTTTAAGATAAAAAGACAAGACTATAGACTTTTCAATTTGCAAAGGCAGGTCCTAGTATTATCAACCAAAACTCCAAATATCCTAGTATTCCTTTGGGGTGAGTTTTGTTCTTAGTGAGGTAAAGGTGGAGGACGGGGGGCATTCATAAAACCACCTGCATGGTTTCTGGTGTGGACCCAGGGCTGGATCCCCAGGGAGCACTCTTACAGCCCATGGTGTTCACCCAGGAGTTGGAGCGGTCTAAGCCCTAGGTTTGCCAAGGTCAAAGGACACGAGGCAGGCAGGAGGAGAAGGGATAAGCAAGCAGCACGGGAGGGAAGGAGGAGGGAAGTCACATTGACACATTACAGAGGATCAGAGGATTAGAGGTCAGGACTGCATGAAGGTGCCACGGTCCGAAAAACAGTTAGCTGTCAGTAAATTAAAATTCCAAATCATCACCACAGAGGAGCACAGAAAATACAGGTTTCTTTCTCCCTTTCTTTCTCCCTCAGACACAAGGGGAAAAACAGGTTCAGTTAAGATTTAGGAGAAAAGAGACATTCATGAGATAGGGGCTGCATTCATTAATTAATAATAAACACAGGAAGGCCTTAGGAAAGGCAGGCGATGCCATTCACTCAATACTAAGATGTATTTGTTAACTTGCAAAAGCAAAAAATATGTAAAGTTTTAAAAACATATTACACCAGTTAAACAATATCAATCAGTACAAAAGAAATTAAACAATCAGGAAATTGAACTACTCTGCACTGGTTTGAAAAGAAAGATAAATGATTACTGAGGCAACATGCCGTTCCGTCTTCTTGCACACACTGTTCATTGTGTGTGACAGGTTGCTGTTACAGCGGTTAGGGAGATAAGATGTCCAAGCTTATGTTTACGGATTGGCTATACAGTTTACTTGTTGATAAAATAGGCCCCGAGGTCACTGTGCACATGGAAGGGCTCTGCCTTGATATGAGTTAAGAACTATGGATCCAGTGTCTAAAACATCTGCAGTGCATCGCAAGTCAATAGGACCTGCAGGAACACAGCACTGGTCAATAATTTATCCCTGATATCTCTGATATCTGACATCCACGTGCACTGTAAAAGAGACAAGTACGGCAATTTGGACCAGTGCCTAAAATACATACATCGCTCAGTCAAAACTGTTCTGTCTACATTAAAAATAAATCGCAACATTTTTGCCTCATCAAAGACTCTTTCTTTCAGAAAAAATGTCAACTCAACAGAGATGAAGAAAGTTTTAGAAAAAACGCACGAGCAGTTATAAACGACCTTACCTTGCTGCCTATGATGGAACGGACCTCGTCGTCAGGAGATGTGGGCGTACCGGATATGTCTGGGTTACTGTTGCTAAGGCTACGAGAGCGGTTGAGATTGAGGCTGGCCGGTCGAACTGCCGAGCGAGCCATGGTGGCGTAGTGCACCGACCCCCCTAAACCTCCGGGACCTGAGGTGACAGATGAGAGTGGAATGAGGATTAAATGTATTCAACAAAGTCACTGTGACAATAATGTCCACATAGAAATCCATTTAATCTAAACAAAAAAATAAAAAGACAATAGCAGGGTCATTGGGAAACCAATAGGTGGCGGCATCTAACTAATAATTTGCAGGCACAATGCAGTGCCACTCTTGATATTGAGTTATACAGTTGCTGAGCTTATGGACATGACTAGAACTAAAGGAAAAAGCAAACAGTAGCATCATGAACTTTTAAATCCAACTTTGTTGTGCAAAGTGAGGCAATTCACACCGTAGTCCACCAGTGCATTAGTGCCTTGCATTGGAAAGCTAAGTGGCTTATTCTCAGCTATTCATTGGAAAACCTCATAATTTGAATGGTTTATGTCACTGAAAAACCTGGTGATGGAGAATTGGGGTCATTGCTGGGCAGGCGGAAAACGTAGTGGATGTAGGAGGACAGCAGGCTGTTGCGTCCGTGCATGTCTTGGCTGGTGTCCAGGTACTTATGAAGCCGGTTTACTATGGACGCCATGACCTCGAAGGATGCCTGGCCCAGATTCACTAGACACACATACAGTCACAGACAGACAAAAGTTCACGTGAATGTAAATTGTATTTGCACAGCTCAACCCACAAACAGAGTGAATGTAAATGTCACGTATTTGCACAGCTCAACCCACAAACAGAAACAGAACAGGAAAAAAAACACAAGTTCAGCATTGATATTTATTCAATGCAGGAAAAAAAACACAATGAACAAGTTCAGCATTGATATTTATTCAATCTCTTTATCTTTAAAACCAATGAATATCATGAGTACCAAATGTTAAAGGGGATTTGATTTAATTTCCATGCATTTTTCATCACAACCAAAAATGTTATTAATGTACTGAAAGTTGTGGATAAAGTTATCTGATCTATGTAAATGATTTAAACCATTTTTATTTATATCAGTTGTTCTGGGTGTTTTATTTAAATTATAAAAATTTAAATTGATCGTCTTGTGCGCAACAATGGTCATATTTGTTTAACATTGTCCAAAATGTGATAAAACAACTCACCAATCTGTCCAGCAATCACAGGCGGTCGCACTACAAGCAACACCAACTTGTCCAGCAGAAGGTGAAGAAATCGGACCACAGGTTCCAGTTGGGACGAGTTGAGAGCCGCGATGCTGGATTTAAGCTCCGTCTCCAGATTGTTCTCCATGATGCGCATGTCACCTATCCTGACTGGAAACATGTGCTCGTCCAGAGCGTGGACCAAGGCAAAGAACTTATCTAGATACTGGTCCTATAGAGGGAGCGCACAGAAAACAAAGATGTATGAAGAGGAAAATTATAAAAGAGAATAAAACAAAGGCTGAAAATACAGAAAAAGTGAAACCTACAAAGACAGGTCAGCTTAGATTTACTGGCAAAATGAACTTGGCTGATGGAATGCAGGAACCCGGTGAGTCTAATCTGCACCAGGATCAGTTATTTATGAGAATATTAGTCTTCTGCGGACCACAGTCAAGCCCTTCACACTAAAGCTGCCACACAGCTGAGATGCAGTAGATCTTAGAGAAAAGAACACTCTGAACCCTACATGGTAATGAAGAGCTGTAAATTAATTTTAGATACAAAAACAAACAAACACGGTTTTAATTACAACAAAACTGATTCAAGGGCAGCTAAAGTCACTAATTTTATTTAAATTTTGTTATGAAAGAAAACCAAATACACAAATATATACTTTTGGTATAATTAAAAAAACAAACAAACATAATTTATTAAACTAAAATTAAATAAAACACCAGTGTTACCTGTGTGTGGATGGTAGAAACAGCCACTACTTCCACATTGAAAACCCCTCGATGGTTGTCCACCCACTTCATTCCTGGTAGAGGAACCTAAAGAACAAAGATGTAAGGGTCAACGTGTGAAACAGATAAGGTTAATACAATTTAATGTGTCACCGAAAGTGGCCCGCAGGCCAGGGGTTTAAGACCCTAGATTTAAACATTTAATTTAATTGTTGTGATGTTAACTCTTATTTAGATTTTAAAGATAAGATGTTAAATTAGTTCCAAAAATATTCTCTTACATCAGGTGAGAGGACAGAGTAGGACTGTGGTGGCTTCTCCAGAGACACAGGAAGACAGAAGTGTCCCGTACGAAGACGTCCATTCTGCAACATGGGGATCCACTAAAGAGAGATAGGATGATTAGGATCGCAGGGAGGAAAGCTTTCCGGATATAAAAACAGAGGACGTTTTTTTTTTAATTGTAGTGTAAGTGTGTGTGTGACTGTAACATACTGTGTATCCCACAGGTGTCTCCAGAGGAGTGTTCTGTTTTTGTTGACAGCTGACATGGTAAAAGGTGAAGAGAATGTGGTGGTGGTCCGACAGGGAGGCAGGCAACTTGATTTTGACCTCGTCATAAAAGTCAGGTGATCTGATGACAGAGGAAACAGAAAACCTTTGTCAAAAGTGTACTGAGGAGTGAGGGGTACCTCTTGTAATTAATTGAGGAATTTCAAATTATGAAGATTATTATTTCCAGAAAATGATGTGTGGAAGACATGTTTGGTAAAATGTGTTTCAGGTTGGGTTTTGGGTGGAAATCGTGTAATAAAAAAAAAAACCCACATGTAAAACTATACAGTTCAGTTGCATTGATTTTTTTTTTGTTTACATTCCCATGTGAGGAAATGCCAAGATAATGCACATCCCACACATAAAGTCAGTCTACTCATTTAGGATGTAGCATATCCTAAAAAAAGACAAAGGTCACGGAATGATCTTCACTTCTCATGAGAGAACTTTTGGTTAAACCCAGGACCATAAAAGGAAAAACTAAAATCACTAACGTAACAGAAGGAGAAAACAACATGATATACAAACTCACTTTCTTGCAGAATTCTCTTTTTGATGTAAGCAAAATGAATCTTAGAGGAGTAGCTGACAGAGCTCGGATCTTATGAATGAGGGCAGTGCCATTCTCTTTTTACCTTATTGCATTTAAGAGAGTGACAAAAGAAATATTGTGCCATTTCTGAGCGAAATGTGGACTATAATTGACCATTAACTATAAGTACCTGTACAGACCGGCTGGACGGTTTTCAAGCTTCCAGGTTGATTAATTTTGGCCTTGAATGTTTGACCTCTTTGGCTGACAAATGACAAACCACTGGGTGTCATAAAAAACACCTAATAGCTGTGATAAAATATTAGAGACCCCTCAACTCTTATGTACAGTCGGAAGAAACTTGAGCCAAGGACACCGCATGACAATAGCCAGAAGGTTGATTCAACTCTTTATTTAATGAACGCCATCAAAGCCAGTCAAAAGAGTAGATGTCACGATAAAGTTGAATTAAAGTGGGGACATGTGCGAGGGTAATTACCAGTCGTCTGTAGGACGGTGCAGATTTTTAGAATCTACAGCAGGTTCACCGTCAGATAAATCATTCTGTGATAACTACATAATGATGGACATTAAAACAGAGAGCGACGCCAATAACCGTATGTTTTTTGATGTGGGTTTTTCGGACATTTAAATGAAACATTTTGGATACTTTTTTGGACTAATAAATCAAAATTTAAATGAAATGGCTTAGTGAATGTTCCAAGTGTTTTTGTTTTTTTTATATATATATATACGTGCATTGTGAAGAATATGTGGGAGTCAAAAGTCAAATGGTCACAAGCTTGGGAACTTGCAGCATTTTGGTTGAACACAATTATTGAGAATGAATCACTTTTATCTTGTCAATTGTATCAGCGGCAGTATTCTGTATAGTCATTGGACAGAGTATATACACAGGTGGCCTTCCTGAGGCATCCCAACGTAGGATTTGGTGACTACGTGGTATCTACTCCGGAGTCCTCTAGTGGCAGACATGAGCTCCATCAGTGAATGTGTACTGACAAGTTAAAAAAAAGCAAATTCTAATTCTTCCAAATGGGTTTAATGAATAGGGTCGGCCCTTACTCACCTATTATGATACACCACAGAGGTGTACGCTTCTTTAGCGAAATCTGCACAACTGGATTTCCCAAATATCACCTGATGAACCAAAAAACAATTACGATATTTCCAAAAATAGGTGGTAAACTGATTCCTAACACTGATAAAGATATAGACACAATGACCTGAGAATTATTGAACCATTTCTTAAAATTTTAAAAATCCATACCGGCATTGCATTGTTTGGATCCTCTCCGTTCATAAATTGCACTTTCACTGTTATGTTGCGTGCAGAACCTTGGCGGTTGGCAAAGTTAAGACTCTGAGGGTTTACATAAAGCAGATTCCTGAAACACACAGAGAAAATAGGACTGGTTAGCAATCATGAAAATCAAAGCCTAAAGTTCAGACGGTATCCAGACCTGATGAAAAGATGAAGGGAAGAGGAGGGCGATTGCAAAGGTATGTAGGAAAATGTATAGAATATTATAGACTGAACACTATCTTAGAGATAGATGTGTTAAGATTTGCTTCAATATTTTTGGGGGGGATTTCACCAATAGACAATATTAACAATCTCCACTTGTCCTTCACTACAACTGCCAAGTAACTGAATGAGTACCTGAGATAGCACTGCTGCAGCTGCATGCTCCAAAGAGAATCAATAACTGAATTACAAGCGGTTGCTTTAGATTATGTGCAACCGTCAATAAAGAACTGTTTCCGGTTTGCAAACACCTACTAGTATATAGAGGGTGCTTCTGAAGATCATTTAATGATCAATTATAGTGGCCATTTTGTTATATGTCAGCTTCCCACAGTAGAAAAGACAAGAAACAAGTCAGAAACAATATAAAAACATTGTCAACGAAATCAACGACTAACACTGACAAACCAAATCCTACCCTACTACTAAAAATACCAATCTTTTGTATTTCGTGGTACCTCTTTCCCAGATGTACTTCTACCAAGGATTAAAGGACTTGGAAAACTTGGCCAAAAAAATAAGGGATCAGCTGATAAACCACAGTGACGTCGTAAGTCTTTGAGGTTGGCCCCCTTGAGACCACAGCTGGAACCACAACTAACAACGAAGCATGGGAATGATCTGGTGATTAAAAATGTCTAAATCTGGTGGCCTCCATTTGGCTCGTCCTAAAAATCTTAAAAGCTGCTTCAAAGTAATTATTGTGCTTGATCCTTAATTTAACCGAAAGACAACTTTACTGTGGCAAAAAGAAAATACCTCCAGTTTATCAGCATTACTTTTTCAAAGGTTTATTTTGTTGCACAGACACCGGCAGAATATACATGACCAGTTCCTGTTCACGTCTAATCATGTATTCATTGGTCCTGTATTTCTTCTCACTGGAGTTTTTCTTATACTATATATATATATATCTCACTGGACGCATGAATACAGCTGCTCATTAGGAGGATGATGGTATTTGAGTGCATGTAACATCTGTTTATTGAAGATTAAAATGTGAAGATTAAAAAAATGCAGCTGTCCAAAACTACTTAATTAGACACAGAATATTGCCCAACCTTTACCCCTTACCGTTACTGTAATGTTAAATAATAAAAATGCTACGGTTGCTCCACCCAGTTGGCAGCGCTCAATTCATCAATAAATAATGTCTGAGATTATTACAGTCCATAAGTTTGACACACCATAAGGATTAAGAGCTTAACTCTATTGCTGCTGAAGTCAGCTTCACTTTGGTCTGTGATAAACAAAATGGAAGAACTGCAAAGGAATCACAAAAGATTTCGCTTGATGATGTCATTACATTTTTAGTTTAATGTCTCCACCACAAAGAGTTGCAATTTTACTGCTGGTCCCATATGCAGCAAGCATCTTGCTACCTCACTGTTCTAACAATAAAGGCAAGGCTGAGCCAGCAAATTGTCAGCATAAACTAATACTTTAAGTTCAAAGTTATTATCAGAATATAAAAAATATCACAATTGTTAAAAAAATTCCCTGAGTCAAGGGTTGTCACCAAATTGTAGGTTGCAGTGATACATGACATATGTCTTGGAACTGGAGAATCCCATTAGCACGAGTTCTAATGTTTGGTGATCACCATGGAATACAATCTATTGACTTGATATAATGACACACAAATGGGGCTGCTTAGACCATAAATGTCGGTTTCCCATGTTCAGTTAAGTCTTTACATTTGTGTATACATTCAAATGCCATGACCTCAATGACTAGGAATCTTTATGGACTAGGCCTTCTTCAATTTTAGCCTGAAGTCCTAATATGGAGATTGGGGAATGTCAGGAATCGGAAATCTAAACTGTTACATAAGGTATGACGAACATGAAGAACCCCTGATAGAGAGGGGCAATAAAATCAGTAGGATGAGAACATGCTGTTCAGCTTCTATCACATCATTCATGCCCAGGAGCTGGATCCTGGCACAGATGCCTTCCCCACATAACAGCAGTGAGAGAAAATAGGACTTGGTGATGGGCTGATTCAGCAGGGCGCTAAATCAAATCCAAAAGCATTAATTAAACAGCTTTATCAATCACAGCGAAGTGTGTGCAAGGTTATATGGTTCAAAATTGATCGGGACGACGATCCATCAAAAACCCATGATGGCCGTTGCTGGCATTCTGCTGATCAGCTAAAGCTCTGCACCACAGATGGACAACAGCGTAGGGCAGGGTGTGGTATGGAAAGGGGATTGGGGTTAAATGGACAGTGGAGGGGGTGTAAATGTCATTTGCTCACTGCTGTGATTTGTTTGTTCAGAGAAGGGAGGGCTAAAGAGGGATGTGAGAGGAGGTGGGGTAAACAGCTAAAACATACTATGGTTTAATAATCAGCAAATCCTCCCTCCTCTGCTGAGGGGGGCAGTATATAACACAGGACAGCCTGCTTCTTTCACATCATTTAACCAGCAGTCTGGGTTATATAGACAGGAAAGAACACCAGGAACAGCAAAGAGGAAAAGAACTCAACAGGATCATTGCCCAGGATATTCCAGGATTGGGAGCCAAATCACAATGAAGCTATTTTATATAGTACTGCTACTTGCTAGTTGTACTGCTGCTGTCCCTCTGGAAATCACAACTAGACAAATGCAACCCACTTTACAGTCACAGGGCTTTACCACAGAACCCAGTCCTACTGAGGAAAAGTCACGCTTCGCCATGCTGGATGACGTTCGACTGCTTGCCAACGGCCTACTGCAACTTGGCCAGAGTTTACGAGAGTTTGTGCGCAAGACCAAGGCCCAGATCAACGACATCTTTCAAAAGCTAAACATTTTTGACCGTTCTTTTTACCAGCTCTCAGTTGTCACTTCAGAGATTAAGGAGGAAGAGGAGGAACTGAAGCGAACTACCAACTACTTGAAGGCAAACAATGAGGAAATCAAGAACCTGTCGCTGGAAATCAACTCAAAAATCAACAACATTATGCAGGAACGCACACAGCTACAAAGCAAGGTGGGAAGTCTTGAAGAGATGCTAAAGGGACTTTCACAGAGCATAGTGCCTGCTGACCAGCTGAGCGAAATCACAACTCTCAGGGTAAGCAACAAAAAAGGCATTAAAGTAACTCTGAGAGTTCTATTACAGTATCAGTTGATAGATCCCTGAATACATACAGATACTTCAGCTGCATATGTTGAATAGATAATCAATATTTTGTTTCTGGCATTTTCAGGATGTGATTGAAACACAAGAGAAAACCATTTCCAATCTACTGAAGGCAGTGAAAGAGCAGCACGATCAACTAGACTACCAGAAAAACAAAATCAAAAACCTGGAAGAAAAGGTAAATATCCTCAACTCTTGACCATGAGCAACAGCTCTTATTTTCTGCTTTCAAAATATAGAAAATAATTATATCTTTGTAACTGACATGCAGTCAAATTTGCACATTCTTACAGCTAAGTTATGACAACTCTCAAGACACAGTTGATAAACCAATGGATTCAGACCTAGCAGCTCCTGACATGTTTGAATATCTGTCCGAAAATGCAACTGGGCGGGATACAAAAGGTAGAATCTGAAATTCACTGACCATTTAAATTATTGTTGTATTTTGTATTTGTGTAAAATCTGATGCACTCGTTTGTCCTTTAGATCTCCCTATGGACTGTGGGGAGTTGTTTAACAAAGGGAAAACAAAGAGTGGAATCCATGTTATAAAGCCAAATGGATCAGAACCATTTAATGTCTACTGTGACATGAGCTCTGGTGAGTAAGAAAAAAGCAATTAATTGGAGAGTGTGTAATTAGAGGAAGCCCAAAAGTTGTGTATTAAGAGAAGGCACTGGCATTTGCAGAATGAAGCAAGAGCAACTAAAGTTGTGTATTAAGAGAAGGCATTGGCATTTGCAGAATGAAGCAAGAGCAAACCCAGGGTATCAAAAGGTTATCAAACCTAGACAGACAGAGGAAAGGGTTATCTAAACAACAGAGTGATTGAGAGGAATAAACTTGATAACATATCAAATGTTGTAAGTTGCATCCTCATATAAATTAAATGAGGAAGCTGCCTAAATATTGGATATGTTTGCTGTTGGTTCCGCAGATGGAGGTTCAACCGTCATCCAACACAGGGCGGATGGTTCAGTGGATTTTGACCAGACATGGGAGAAATATGAGAAAGGTTTTGGAAATCTGGAAAGTGAGTTTAAATATTTATTTTAATGGCTGGTATTTAACCTGAATAAGATGGTAACAACAAACATTTACAGTATTACAAAAACAAAATTTTTGCATGTATGTCCAAACTTTTATGGTAACTTGGCTGAATGCCTTCACCCTAGGAGATAGACTAATTAAATATTAACTGTTCTGACATGACCAATAACAAAATGTTACTGTCGGACAAACCATGCAGGCATTTTAGACACAACAGTCACAACTCTTTTTTACTTTTAACACAGTACTGGGTTACCCCATTGAAACCGACATACATTCTATGAGGATCTTGATTAAATCCAAATTATTCCTAAAACAATATTTTAAGTAATTTCCCTAAAATGTTTTTCTATTCAGAGGACTTCTGGCTGGGCCTAGAAAAGATTCACAGTATCGCACAGCAGGGAGATTACACCCTACGTATTGATATGGAAGACTGGAAGGAGGAGAAACACTGGGCTGAGTACCAGTTCTCATTGGGTGGTCCCTCAGAATACTACACTCTACATGTCAGCAATTTTTCTGGGGACATACTGGATGCCTTGACCAACATGACTGGCGTTAGATTCTCTACTAAAGAGGGGACTAACGACAAAACTCGGAACGCTGACTGTACTCGTAGTTACACAGGTAACTGCAGTTTCTCTTTGTGTTTTTACTGCAGAAAATACTTAGGTAACAAGACTAAAACAAATAACTGACTGTGTTTAAGTTACATGCATATTGTTCTGATTCTATGGCAGGAGGTTGGTGGTTTAATGGATGTGGGGAGACCAACCTCAACGGACGGTTTACTTGGTTGAGAGCAAAGAGCCGTTCTGCAAGAAGGAGGGGCATCTACTGGAGACCTGGTGCAGGGTCTTCATACGCCCTAAAGATGACCAAGATCAGCCTGCGACCAGTCCTCACTCAAACAATCTAAACTTAATCCCACTACGGACATCTGTTATCACTGCGCTAAAATCAAATACTTAACCATAGAGGCTCAAAGATAGATAAAGTAAAATGAGCCACCACAGAAAACACCACAGTCTACGTGAAAAAAAACATCTTGAATGTATCTGTAACATTTAATGTAATTTATGTTCAAACACCACTCTGCCACAGACTGAGGCAGATGAAGGCCAAAAATGTTCAAAGTCACAAAATGCTAAACAGTCAAACACTGATGAAACTCTTGCCACATGGGTCATCAACCTGTCAGATTTGGGCCAATGAGGACAGTAGAACTGCCCTTATGCAACATCTGCAGGTACTTGCAAAATGGACATATTGATCCATAGTAAGCAGCATGTTGCTTTATGGCAATGCTGCATTTGGAGAGTTGTCTTCACATAATTACCCCACCAGTGATATGGACTTTAATACATATGGTAATTTGTCAGCTGTTTAAACATAACATGAATCTGGCTTGCATGTTTTAAAGACCTACACACATAATTGCATGCATTTTTTAAGAAAAGGCTGCATATCTTACATTTAAAAAAAATGCTAATACGCTTTTAAAAATGACGGCCATGTGTCCCCAACAACAGAACGAAAATTGCGATTTCAATGTAAACTGTGTTAATGCACTGGCGAGACCTTGGACCATTTTTAATGTTTTTTTTTTATTCTTACTCTGTAAAGTATTTAAGCCATGTGCATAATATGTGAATAATGTTGGTACTGTTAGGATCATCATTCTCATGTATATTCAACATTATTGAGTCATATTGACTCTTGTTCATTCTTTCAACTGTACTGTAACTGTGCCTCACACCAACATGTCACCTTGCCACATAGCCGTGCTCTGAAAAAAAAAATCATATTTATGTCAACACAATAAAAAAAAATCAATGTGACGTAAGTCTTACCAGCTGTGGCTTCGTGTTTTATTTTCATCTGAGGTCATTTACATACAGTACTGTTCTAGCCTTAACTGCACAAAATACTACAGGTCTGCAGGAATAGTTCTCCATTTAAAGGAGGGGCTACAAAACAGGGTCTCAGATCACTGTCAACTTACATGAATAATTTAACTTACTCTATGAGCCACTTACTCTATGAGCCATTTTACTCTGTACTATATACTCCAGAAGAAACAATATGACATGAACCAGGCCTGATAAACCACCATATAAATATTAATAAATTAAGAATATTTAGCCCGGGATTTTAAATGATTTTTTTTTTTTTTAGAATAAAGTGGTTCTTAAAGAAGAAAAAGAGAGATATAAGCAATGCATTGGTAAATATAAAGGAGAACTAAACAATATCAAGTCAACATTTATTATGGTAATATGATTAATATATGATATCAATATTTTAAACTATTATTATTTTCTTTCAGCCACATGTAGTCGGTTAATCTCTAAACCTCAAAAGGGCAGCACCTTTTATTTGCAGAAACAGGCCACGTTGCACTGCCAGGTCAACAGACACATTGGCTGATCAGAGCTGATCAGAGAGTGACCTTGACAAAAATAACCACGTTTCCAGACAGAATATGTACACAGCCCACTGGCACACAGGAATAAAAAGTGACGTCAGTCATCGATATGTGGACCTCAAACAGATGTTTACCAGAGTGTCCTAAATAAATTCGGGCTCCCACTAAAAAATGGCATATAAGTGACTTTGCATCTGGATCAGGAGGTATTTTGCCAACACCAAACACAATCAACTCAAGGTCAACAAAACAAAATTGTACTTTTCACACAATTGTTACGATCAAATAAAATTAACCTGAAAGACAGTTTAAACATTTCTTATACTCTATTTAGCCATCTCCTTGAACAAATAAGGCCTTAACAAAAGAAGAGTTCTGTACCTGTAGGTGGTGTTTGGCACATAGACGTCCCTGGCAGGTATCTCCAGGATTTCCCTAGTGGGGCGTACCCTACTGTCGGGGTAAGGCTTCACCTGTTGAAGGTCAGGGGTCAAGCAATAGTGGGGGTTCTCTGGAGCTGGAGAAATGTCGAGTTTCAACTGGGCTGTGGCGATAATTGGACAAGACAATGGGGAGAAAGCGCAGGATGTTTAGAAAAATAAATAAAAAATTTTAACCAAGCCAAAACAATGCTACAACATGCTAAAAAAAATGCTACGAAATGATACGTGATAGCTTCTGAAAATTAATCGGATTATTGGTGATTTCTGATACGTGATAGCTTCTGAAATTAATCGGATTATTGGTGATTTCTGATTTATCTCAATTAATCAAGATTCATCATTAACATTTACCATCACAATAAATAGTGATTAATTCTATTTATTCCACAGATTAATGTGATTAATCAAATTACGATGTTCTAACCTGTGATGGGTCTGAGTCTTCTCAGAACTGAAGACGGTCTTCTCATGTCAGCTAGGAACTTGTACAAATCCTCATCACTCAGCCTGTCGCCCTCCTTAAATATAAACACACAGCAAAAAAAAAAAAAAACACTTGAAAAAAATATATTAAACCTTCAAAGGAAACCATTTGAGAAACTTATGAACATGTACATAAAGTATGTGCTTAAGTGAACACCTGTTTGAAGAAGTTGGTGATAGTGAGTGTTGCAGGTCTAAAGCCTGTCAGACTACATGACTCATCCCCACAGGTGGTTCTCTCCAGGGACCGCCTTCCCATAATGCTCGAGTTTCTCCGCTCTGACCACGAGCCTTTTCTCTCTGCACAGAGACAACAGAGTAAAAAAAGATAAATAAATAAATGTTGTGCTTAGCAAAAAAACATACAAATGTACTTAAGACATCAATACAGGAGGTGGTCAAAGATTAGATAAACAGCCGAGGGTCACACTTAAAATAACACAGCAGTGATCAATATGGCTAAAAACACTGCGGTTGTTTTGCTCTGTGTTCACTTTGCTCAGTGTCTGTGGATCCAAAAGTTGTCTATAGATAAAGAACGTGAAGTGCGGTAAGGTATCGACGTGACCACGAGCCTCCTGCGTGAATACAATTCTCTGTTTACCACACAGCAATGTGACACCGACACTAACTACTATTGCTGGGCAGACTAAGTGGACTGTCCACCACCTTGTTATAAAGACATTTGATTGTGCAGACAGATTTCATATCATGTTAAATTATTGACATGCTCAGTTTTTATGTCCCATCTCAATCAGTAACTTGTAAATTCAAAGTGGAACTGTAACTTAGAATGTACTATTGCCTTGCCTTTCCAAAAGAACCGTGTCTACATGGCACATACAGTAGTTGTACTGATCTGAGTATACCTTACTAGGTGTGGGAGTTTTAATGTTTTATTATTGCATAAATGAATTGATGCTAACAAATATTTTTATTGGGTATTAAAGCTAGTTTTCGAATTGAGATGTACAATGACATGCATTCCAGGCCAGTACCGATCAACAAGTTCTGAAGGTCAGACTCTGTGAGCAAAAGATTTGATAAAGGTCAATTATTTATGTGTTAATATGATAATTAAATGTAACTTGTATGTTGTGAAAGTACAAGTCAGAATGGATGTTAATACGTGAAGGTTTAGAAATACCAAGGGAGAAATGTGACAGAAACAGTCAGACCTGAGAGACTCAGTTCCAGTTCTGTGTCCCTCTCAAGACTCCCAGCACTGTTGACAATGTTCATCAGATGGATGGCTGTCCAAGCAAAAGGCATTCTGTAGCGCCCCAGACGTTGGCAGAACTGCTCTGACTGGCTGCGAAGCTTCTCCAGCTTCTCTTTATTCTAAAAGAAAAACAAACAAACTCAAGTCATTAAAAGAAGGAACTCAAGAGTGTAATCATTTCTTTACTGATTATTTTACTGCTCGTTCACACAGCTCGTACCTTGGCAGCATCTGACTCCTTGAAGACCATGTAAGGCTCTGCACACTCTCCAATGTCACCCTGCTGCAGTACTTTCTCCAGCTGGAGACAAACACACACACACGTAGTCCATATAGGCACCACACTCACTCATAGCACAGAGGTGATCACAGAGGACGTGGCCTGTCTAACAGTTTGTGTGACAAGACTTTTTTTTTCTGGAAATAACATTTGAAAATGTCAAAGTCATATAGTATATCAGGAGTGTTTATGACATCCACTGTTCTTTTTTAGAAAGCCCCAGATACTGGTGGTAAGATGATAATGTGATGTTATAATATTACTGAGGGAAAGGACACAAAAATAAGGGCCCTTTCCTTGACATTAGGTTTGCAAAGTTAACTTCACAAACACTTTGACTTCTACTTTAATAATAATAAAAGGTGCTGAAAAGGCAAATTGGAATTTTAAGGTTAATCATGCAATAAACAGGATGGAGTAAATTAGACATTACTGTCTGACCTTGATGACCAAGAAGACATCCTGAGAGGGATAGGTGATGGAGAAGATGGCAGAGCGAGCAAGAGTAGAGATGGCCGATGTCTGAATGTGTGGACGGAGCATTGCTTTGGTCTGTTCGGAGTTCAGGTCAAAGAAGAAATTCTCTGATATCTGAGGAAAACAGAAATATGTATATGAAACAATTAAATACATATAGTATATTTTTATTGACGTTTTATCAGTGGAACAACAGTGCAGTGTTGAACAGCAGACATACAGAGACTCAGATGTAAAATGAACTCAGATGTAAAATGAACATGGTGAGAAATTGAAATCATTGGATACATTTTTACAAGAAATTATGCAAAACATGGAGAAAAGAATAGGTTTAAAAGTAAAAGTATATCAAACCAAAACCTGACTTTTTATCTTCTTCTTAATGTGTATTTTTAACTGGAAGCAACTAACTCAGTAGTGAAATAACAGCTCATATGCAGGGCAAAACAAAGTATTTGAGAGGTTTCCTAATGAATGTAGGTGCGCCCTCTAGTGTCTGACAGGTAGAGAGGAGTCAAAAAAGAAGAACTAAATCTGATAGATACATAGTTTCCAGTGTGTGATTTAACCACATTCCCACAGGCTTAACAGGGCCACAACATAAAATTTTATAGTCCACACATCAAAATCGTTTTGGCCTCCCAACATTTTTAACGGTTTGCTGAAGTGACCCAACAACTCAGGGCTGCGGAGACACAGAGAAAAGCATAACAGCTTACCTTTTTCTTTTCCTTGACATCGTATAAGGCCAAACTAGCAAAAATGGGTTCAATTTCGATCTCAAACCTTCAAGGGAAGAGGGGAAAAATATAGTGGGTCAGCAGAAAGCAGCAGTAAAATAAAAAAACGTAAAAAACACCTTGTTTTTTTTTTTTTCGCTCTGCAAAAAAGACTGTCCACCGCTTACTTCAAGGACAAGCACTTGACGAGCAGCCGCTGGCCAAAGTGTTCTTTGGGTACTTCAGGCACACAGTGGCGCTCAATAGGTTCCTCCTGCAGATTTAGATAGGAAAATAAATGATTATCAATCTGGACATGTATAACTTGACTGAATTCTAGTGTGTTTCATACAACTCATTCATTTTATAGATTTACCCCTTCAGATTTCACAAAACTAACTAACTGACTAACCTCATCCAGGGCAGGGTGTAGAGCAAACAGTTCTCTATGACGGCTGGTCTTGCGCTGGTCTTCGTTGTGTCTGTCAATCTCTTCATTGGGAGCGCGGTGCAGCTGGTGAGGGAGAGGAGCGTCAGGGAGGGAGTTCTTCAAGTCAAAGATGCTGCAGGCCCAGCTGCCCCGCGGGGTGTCGTCTATAGACATCGATCTCCGCTTCAGATCATCCTGCAGAAGAAAAAACATTGAAACATGTCTCGGACTCACACAAAAGAATTCAAACGTAAAAGACTCTGTACCTGATCATCCTGGTAACTGCTGCTGTCTGGCATCTCGTCTGCTTCAAACACCTGTTTGGGAAGACCTTTCTGACGCTCCTTTTGTTTGTCTAACGTGTTGGGGTTGAATCCTGTACCTAGTTTGTGGTATCTGAGTGAGTGAATGGATGAAATGAAGAACATCGTAAGTATTCTATTCATTTTTTCCATGTCAATAAAAACAGTGTCATCACTCAGTGAAGCCTTACTTTCTGTTGACAACGGCCCAGTCTTCTGTGTAGGAGCGAACACAATCTCTGACGTGAGCATCGGTGTCCCTAAAATCAGAAACACTCAGTCACATGTTGTTCATGGAGTCTGCAAATATGTGGACTTAAACGCTCTAAGCACTTTCTTACATAAAAATATAAACAAAGTCTTTGCCATTTTCCCTAAAATACTAGTTTGTTGCAATGTTGATCAAACCTGTTTGTGGTTATGATGACAGGAATAGAATATAATCAAGAATAATAATACTACTAGACTGCAAAGCTTTTATGAAACATGTAACAAAAACTGAGATTAAGAAACAACTAAAAACAGATGTCATATGTGTCTTATCATTAGCTTAATTGCTCACCCTTCTTCAGGGACTGCTTGCACCACTGTGCGACATTCTCTGGGTGTGTAGATGACCTCAATGTCATCTGGGGGAAACTCAATCAGATCCCTCAGGGGACCGGACTCAACAATCGGTGGGTGAGTGATGAGGTACTCCTCAAAATCCACCGGTTCCACCGCCTCTGTGAGTGGAACCTGAAGGAACAGGCAGAAATCAGAGAAATTAAAATGTTCAACTGTCTGCATCAGTTTAGTTATTTCACATTTTAATACAATTTTACTATAGTATTTATATAGTTTTATTCTCTGTTAAAATTAAAATATATATTAAGAGGTATACCGTCAAAAATGTAGACTCGTAAAAATACTTTAAACTTAAAGATTATTCTCTGTTAAAATTAAAGGTATACCGTCAAAAATGTCGACTCGTAAAAATACTTTAAACTTAAAGTGAATTATCTAAAATCCTAAATTAACGTGTTTCATAAAAGTAACAGTGTTTATCAGCAAGTTTTTGTGTTTCACCATGTTTAGTACAAACAACATAATAAGTCAGTCTCTGTGCACCACTCACAAACTTTTTTCTTCTAAGGAATTTAATTAAAACAACCAGTAGCCTAATTAAAGCTAGGGGGATGTGGAAGACGTTTGCTGGCTGCTGTGGGTTGATTTGCTCCAGCATTTCAGTAAACAGACTAAGCTCAGACCCTGCTGTTAAGTCCAGGACTACCCGCAGCACATTACACAACCCTGATGGCCGCAGGGGGTTGTGAAATGTCCATCAAAGCTTTTGTAGTACGTTTGCTTATTTTTGTTTAGAATATTTGATTTCATGTTTTCACTTATAATTTATTCATTTAGCCAGTAAGCAATAGAAACTATTTATTTTTTCCTTGTGTAGTCAAGACAAACCAAGCAATAAAGATCCAGAAAACTCAAAAAGAAACTTAAGTTGTATATTTCAGTTTCAATTCAGAAAATGAATGAGACAGTCTACTATGTCTAATCACCGTGTTGCTTGTTGTGGTCCCAACATTGAGGTTTTTGAACAGTTGCGGCGAGCCTCCATACTGCCCAGCGATCTGCTTCCTGACCTCTGACGCCACAGTCCTGCATTTAGAGATAAATGTATTACAAATAAGAAAAGACTATTCATAATAACAAAGTGCCAAAAAACGTCATAACAAAAAAAATGTGGGTGTATGTTTTAGAGTAACTTACAATCACAACGTCACTTTTTACAATAAACTGTTTTCCTGCGAGGAGGTTGATGTATATGAGAATTAGTCTTTGTATCCTTGCAGGATTTTTTATCTTCTCAGCTAATAATGTTTAAGAATCATCTTGAACAAGATCAGAAAAATAGACACTCATAAAACCTTCTGGACCCTAGTGGTCAGCAGAAGGCCCTCAGCATACAACTGCTGCTGTAGCAACACACATATACGAGTCCTTTAAATCACAACATCCAACAAACCAAGTCAGAGGCTTTAACCTTGAAGAAAACAACAACGCTGCAGGTTGTCCAACACCACAGAACTGAACTGAAAATATAAAAGACTGCTCTGATATACAGAAGAAAACTAGTTTGCTGTAAAATCAATAAGCATCCTATACCCATTAGGTTTTTTTTTCCTGTACAGCTTTTGCCCAATCAACAATTATTCATTTTATAGCATCTTTAAATGTCTTTAATTTTTGTGTAATTTCGCCATTCAGGTCCCTGAAAAATAACACGTCTGTTCTATTCACTGTCCACCGCACTGCCAGGTTTAGACCATCTTGATCTAAGAATGTCTTGATTTTCATCTCATATATATATAATTAGAAACACTCTCTGCATAAATTTTGCATTTGGGAAATGACACATCATTCTTTGTCTCACTACCTGATCTTGTGTACCAGCTGTAATACAAGAAACACATGCAGGACAACAGTAATGAATGCAGCTGTGTTGTAAGAGCTGTTAATACAGTCACATTTCTAGAGTATAGCTTTATTATCTACAAATTCAAGTACTGGATCGGGTCAAAGAAAGGTGACAACAATAGCAGAAAGGTGTTGTGACCAAACATCCAACGTCGTGAAGATTCCTTGGCTGCAGTGCTGACATTAGTGAAGAAATGCAAATGTCCTGAACAAACAAAGACATTCTTCAGCCCTCTGCCTCTGAGCAGACCTTTAATGAGCACTGGTCACTACACAGAGGAATAGCTCTGTCATGGTATACTGTGATGTCAACAACTCGGGGATGATTACACACTCTTGGAAAGTGTGTCACTGACCAATCAAAACATATGATTCCAAGCTCTGAACAACAAAGACTGAAAAATATTGTAAGATAAATAAAAGATCGCCAAAAAGAACCAGATGCATACATACTTGCACTGTTTTATTAATCATTTTAGCAAAAAAGGGTTATATCAGATATTTTTATTTGTTAAGGCTGTGTAGAAACGTTTTTGTTTTTTGTTTTTTTGCCATTATTTCTAAAAAACAAACAAAAGCGAGAGAAATGCCCCAGGAAATGACCTTAAAAACCGTATGTGTCTTGGAAAGAGGACAGATGCAAGTGTATGTTAACAATATAAGATGAGCAGAGGAGCCAACAGGAAGCAATGAGGTGAAAGAACATGTGCATTCAGCCAAGAAGCCATCACTGTTTTGGAAATAGCAAGAGATTTGGTGCAGGAGAAAGGTCAGTGCCAGAGTAATGAATATGTCCAAGTAGAAGTTGATCTGGTTTATGTGAATCCTTTGGTCTAGCAATAAAAAATGAAAGTATAAGTACCCACTGCTGACTACTATTAACTAAAAATCCCTACTGTTCTTCGTTCTTTTTGCATCTTGTGAGGACAGTCAGTTGTTCTAAGTTTTTTCTAAATTGACAAATTAAATTTCATGCATTATGATGCACTTAAAGATAAGCCTGCAGTAAGCCAAGGAGACTTTAGCAACTATTCAGCTCCTGTCTTTAAGCTCTTAAATGGAATAAAGCACCAGTCTCTTACTTGCAGTATGCTGCTTACCTTAGTTGGATTGAAATTATAAAACAAAAACTTCAAAAGAAGTAAAAGACCATAGTCTCCAAAAGGAAATGTCAATGTTCAGTCATTATCCCTAAAATTTATAAAAAGCTACTTCTAATAGTAGCAGCACACTCCTAGTCATTTTCTGGTAAGATACATACAGTGTCCAAAGTTGTTTTCATTTATTAGTTTTTACATATAATAAACAATTGCAATTATTATTGAAGCAATTATTTAAATGTATTATGAATGAGCTTTCAGTCCTACAGTCTTGTATAAGCTCATATTGAGCTGAAGGTAAAAATTACTCAGCTAGTAGTATTTTATAATATGTAGGAGGAAAAAAGGATATCCCCTTTGATCCCCTTTTATTTTTCCTGCACAGTTGATTCAAAGAAACACCTAAGAACAAACAAAGCCCTTTGTTTGCGATACTAATTTGTGTCACTAAAAATGAAAGTGTGATTAAAGTGGAAACGCTCTGTTACTACATCATCTTTTTTGCAGCTAAAACCTCCGTCGTCACAATAATGTCATACAGCAAAACAAACTTAGGTTGTTGATTCGTGTGTATGTTGTGTTATTTTATTCCTGTGTATATTTTGTTATTTTTATTTCTTGATTTCTTTGGCATTCAGTGTGGACAGCAAAGTAAAATTTTCATTGTACAGGGAAACCTGCTTTCCTTACTGTACACATGACAATAAACGCTTTGAATCTTTGACTCAGCATCTGTAGCAGTTGCAGCAGTCTCCAGCTGCCCATCGTTAGCTGCTGCAGACAGGATAGCAAAATAGCCGTTTACAAAAATAACGATTTATGGTCAAAACTAAGTGTTAGTGGGGGCATATGTTTATCATTTAGAACGACTCCCTCCCGAATCGGTGTTTGTTTGATACTGTGGCATTACACATCACCCCTTTGTTGGCATTCGGTGTCGCTGTTTTGTCTGGGTGGGTCTGAGCATCTCTACCGACACGGCTAACAGGCGGCTAACAAGCAGCAGCAGGCTGAGCTGGCGGCTGGGCCTCTCTCACTGTTTGCCCCAAGTCTGCAGTGGTCTGCCCGCGACCTACATTGTATCGACTCGATATGTGGGTGTGTTTAACAGGCCCGTCTAAAGGGTCTTAAAGGCTGTATTTACCTGCTGATTTTTTGTGCGAAGGCGCGGCGTTCGGCCATGGCAGCAGCCGCTGATGTGCTTTAGCGAAATTCCCAAGCAGACACACAGGGATCGGGTTTCCACTCACTCACTCACTCACTACGACCACAGGGAAAACAGGGAAACGGGAGAATGGGATTCGCTACCGTAATGATGGAAACGATGCGCAGCAGAACACACCCCAAGAAAATGAATTGCGCCTTGTACTGCAGTATTACGAACATGTGGATTAGATTTGAGTATATTTTAATACAATATTTCGTACGATTCTACATGATATTTGCAAGTTATGGGTCCAGTTAATTTAAAGGAATTATACACTACAATATTACACACTAGTTAAGAATATTTCCTTCTCCAGGTTTGAAATATAAACTATAAACTTAGCAAACTGTTGGTTAATATTAGATGCGGTCAGACACGGATTTAAATCAAATACGCTAAAAAAAGTTAATTTGAATAATTCTCTTGATAGGCACTTTCTTGCCCATTGAGCCCGGTTGTCACTGTGCCTGCTTGCTAGCTGGCTAGTCCTCTTCTCTCACAAGATAAAAGTAAAGAGTAAAGATTGACATGAGGTACAAAAAATACGCTAGTTACATAAAACTGAAACAAGAAACGTATTACTTTTTTATTAATAATATACATACAGCTGGAATACTACTGTCCACTCATTAGATGTCTGACTGTGAAAAAGCTTCGACGGTTAAAAAAGGGGGAAAAAGTAGTATAGTAGACTCAGACTCAAACTCAACTTTCAAGGACCAGCCACCCGTGCAGCTTCCGTAGAAGTGACGTATCTGCGTTATTTGTCCAATCAGCGATGAGCAAGGAAATGGAAACCACACAATAGTTTTAACAAACGGTGATATTAAAATAGATGTTTTATAGAAAATGTGTCTTTGGAAAATATCCAACTTAAAAATAATTATTTTATTTTTTATTACAAATCGTAGTTGAAGCCATTCAAGCTCCGCCCGCTCGGGAAATTATGAGGTAAAAATCGAGTGCCCTATTCCTCGCTGTAGCCTTTTGGTTTCCCGGCGGAAAAAAACGCAAGATCACCTGACTCGACTCTTGTACTTCCTCAAATTGTAAACATTGGAACGGTTGCAGGCTTCAAGTCATAGGCGAGAGATAAATACAAATTTCGTTTAACACAATGTAACGTTTGACTATTGTACGTTACTATGAATTGGTTCAAAACTATATTTGCCGAAAATTAACTCGGACGTGAACGGTCAACTTTTGTTAAGCTGTCAATTTTTTTCCGTTTAAAACGACAGCTATCTGGATATTTTTGTGTCCCTCACATGTACCAGGGTTTTTGTGCTGTGTGGGAATGGGACCCATCTCTAGCTGGTGCAAATGGAGAATAAAAGCAGCGACGAGGTCGAAAAATTTAAAACTAAGTTCTTGTCGGCCTGGCATAATGTAAGATACAGTAAGTTTAAAACAACAGACACACACACACAGTTGTGCATTAACTTTCATTTTTTGCACTGAATATATAAAATCGTATTCACAAACACAAATAGTAAACCAGTATTATTTTATTGTCCTAGTGATTTGCACTAAAGGGTGTGATTCAAAAGTAAATAATGGGACAAAAGGGGAACGTATTTTAGTATCAACAACCTCACAGTTATTCAAATGTAACTGGTTTCACACCAAGGTACATGGTTAACCTAACCATTGCCAAAGAATTTTGCAAATCTAAAGTGTCACCTCTGCTTGACTTGTGGTCAAGTTCTTAGAAGTGGGTGGGTAAGGAGAATTCCCTGTTAAGCAAATTGTATTAAACCCAGCATTTTAACCAGAAATCGACTGTTACTATTAAACACACATTTCTTCAACCTCATGCTCATGCCCTTTTCTTCCACATAATTTGGTATTTGTCCTCAATTAACCAAGACGTTTGGTTCAGTTTAAACCAGCCATAGAAAAGTACAAATGTAAACAAAAACACACCCCAGAAATTATTGAATCGAGAACCTGCTGCCATTGAGTCAGACCTTAAAATAGGTCATACAGCCACTTATTTGATCAGACTTCCAGTCGAGCATTTGCTTCTTTTATTTACTTAAACACAAAAGGCAT